CTTCTGGGATCCTACAGCAGAAAACATCAAAGGGACACTTTGTGAGCCTGGTGCAGTGACTCATGCCTGTAATCCCAACACTTTGGGAGGCCAAGGTGGGTGAATTCTTTGAGGTCAGGAGTTCGAGACCAGCCTAACCAACATGGTGAAACCCTACCTCTACTAAAAATACAAAAATTAGCTGGCCAAGGTGGTGCATGCCTGTAATCCCAGCTACTTGGGAGGCTGAAGCAGAATTACTTGAACCTGGGAGGCAGAGGTTGCAGTGAGCCAAGACTGTGCCACTGCACTCAAGCCTGGGTGACAGAGCTCTCTGTCTTTAAAAAAAAAAAAAAAGGACACTTTGTGTGTGAGGCAGAAGGCAATTCTGGTGTGTAAATATTTGTCCTTCAGTTGCCTGTATTATTTCTCAGGACATTATGAAAAATAATAATTGGAAGCATTCCGGGCGAGCTCCTTGAGTGTGCTGCTTGTACGCTGGAATGGACTCACACTCAGAAGGACCCTGCACTTGGCTTACTACTCTGAGATTGTCATTTTGAATTTCTTAATAAATAGTGAATGAAGGGCCTTGCATTTTCATATTGTACTGGGATCCTGTGATCCTGCTAACATTTTAGGGCACTTTCTATGAATCAGACTCCATTCTAAACCTTCACCCTCTTAAACATGAGTGGCTGGAGTACCACTAGACTATAAATTTCCTCCATTACTTAAGGTAATTTGCGGGAATCTGTTTCCTTGCCACTGAAAAGTGCTTAACTGAGAGGGCAGGGGAGACACTTACTCAGCAAGGCCTTCCTAGGCAACCCTGTTTTAAAAAGTAAAAACAAGGCCCGGGGTGCAATGCCTTACACCTGTAATCTCAGCACTTTGGAAGGCCGAGGCAGGCAGATCATTTGAGGTCAGGAGTTCAAGCCCAGCCTGGCCAACATGGTGAAACCCCCATCTCTATTGAAAATAGAAAAATTAGGCCGAGCGCGGTGGCTCAAGCCTGTAATCCCAGCACTTTGGGAGGCCGAGGCAGGTGGATCACGAGGTCGAGAGATCGAGACCATCCTGGTCAACATGGTGAAACCCCGTCTCTACTAAAAATACAAAAAATTACCTGGGTATGGTGGCGCGTGCCTGTAATCCCAGCTACTCAGGAGACTGACGTAGGAGAATTGCCTGAACCCAGGAGGCGGAGGTTGCGGTGAGCCGAGATCGCGCCATTGCACTCCAGCCTGGGTAACAAGAGTGAAACTCCGCCTCAAAAAAAAAAAAAGAAAAGAAAATAGAAAAATTAGCCAGGCATGGTGGCGGGTGTCTGTAGTCCCAGCTACTCGGGAGGCTGCCAGAGGTAAATTGCTGGAATCCAGGAGGCGGAGGCTGCCGTAAGTTGAGATCCAGATACTGCATTCCAGCCTAGGCAACAGAGCAAGACTATGTCTCAAAAAATAAAATAAAGGTAAATAAAAATCAAAAACAAGAAAAAACCTATTGCCTTACTGTTTCTTTCATATCACAAATCTGCAGTTACTTTGTTTACTTATTTTCTCATTGTCCCCTCTAGAAATGTAAGCTCTATGTTTTTCATTACTGAATTTCAAGCTTCTAGCACACTGTCTGACACATAACAGGTAATCGAACATTTAGTTTTGTTTTTCACCTCAGCCTCCCGAAGTGCTGGAATCACAGGTGTAAACTGTCAGGTTTCCATATGCAAGCCTGGAGCCTCAAAGTCTGAAGTCCTGCTAGCCTCGGCTGAAGTCTCCCACCCCCTGCCGGCATTTGCCATTGTCCCTGATTGCCCAGCTGAGCTTCCTCGGACAAGCCCCTCACCCAACCCTGCTGTCTTAACTGTTCTCATGATAATGTAAATACCTCTCACTGAACCCCACCACTGTAACTGAACTTACTCTGCAACACCCCCACCCCCCAAAAAACTACCCAAACCTGTAAAGCCAACTCCTTTTCGGCCTTAGCCCACCTACACCCAGCTGAATAAACAGCCATGCTGCTCACACAAAGCCTGTTTGGAAGGTCTCTTCATTCAAAGCGCCTGTTTTTTCAACATAAACCACCTTGCCCGGCCCAACATTTTAATAAATTAAACATGCAAATCTTCCTGGGAAACAAACATTTTAAATAGCTCTGCTACAGATTGCTACAAACTTCCTGCATCAAATCACTTAATTGTCTTAGATACTGGTTGATACAAAACTAATGATTTATCGCTTTTTATGAAATAAAAGCTCATTTAATTAAACAGTTGAATCCCTGCTACTTGCTTGGCACTGTGCCACACGCTGGAGGCATTCTAACTGGAGTTCCCTCTTCTCCAGAAGTTGACTCTAACGGAGGAGGAAATGGCTCTCAATAGGGTCTCCAAAGTCAAAACTATACTAAAGAGTATTTGCTATTTTCTTGCTCATCCACTTACAAACCGTTAAAAATGCATGCTTTGAAAGAGGAGACTCGCCGAACAGGCTTTGTGTGAGCAACATAGCTGCTTATTTACCTGGGCGAATGTGGGCTAAGGCAGAAAAGGGCGTTATCGAAGGGCGGTGGGATAGGAGTTGTTGTTGATGTTGTTGTTTTTGAAGAAAATCACTTTATTCTAATTAACTCACAAAGAATAAAATCATAACAGTTAGTTTAAGGAGACCACACAAACATTTGACCAGCTCCAAATTCTACGGAGTAGGAACATCCCCTTCCATTTCAATTCTGAAGCAAGGAAGCTAGGAATGACAGGAGAGGTTTAACTGACGGCTACACTTTATACCTTCACTATCAATTACATTTTTATATTAAATTAACTTGGTTATGAGAGTTGGTTTTCCATTTCTCCAGGTTGAACTTCTTGATTAGGCCAATCCGTTTGCAAGTCGGCACTGTTTCAGCACCTCACCGAAACCCTCACAGAGCTTGATGTCACCCTGGTTCTGGGCACACTCCAAGACCTGTTTGATATAGAAGCAAGGCTGCTGCTGCTGTGCTGGCTGGCTTCCCTGAGGCTCCTGGTAAGTGATGTCAGGCCTCGGAGGCTCAGGATCACTTCCTCCACTGAAGCCCCCAGTAATGGCGTGGCCCAGTGTGTGCCCCACAGCAGAGCCCACAGCCACGCCAGCTGCAGTGGTTGCCATCTGGGACAGCAGACATGGCTGCCAGGGCGCAGCAGCAGAGCCCCAACTGCAGAGGGGGGTGCCGCTGCTGGTGGCTGAGCGGCTGGTGCTGGCCTGGGCGCAGCTCTCGTCTGATGGGCCTGGCTGGCCAGAGGGGCCATGCGGGAGGTGCCGCTTCGGCTTCCACGCGGCATCCTAACCACGGCGCGGGGGCGGGGGGCTCGGCCTTTAGACGTACAATAACCAGGGAAGAGCTCAGCGGCTTCTCTGGAGTTGGTTTTATAGGTTGGGGCGAATCTTTTGGGGAGGGGGCAAGGGTGTTACGGAGTAAGATCAGTTACAGTGGTGGGGGTAGGGGGCAAGGAGTATACATTACTGTAAGTTCAGTTACAATGGCGGGTGGGGTACGAGTCGTTTAGATGGTAGGGTCTGGTGAGGAGTATTCACATTATCATAAGAACAGTTAAGGTGGCAGGGTAGGGTGAGAAGTATGACACTATCATAATAACAATTAAGATGGCAGGGTGGGGTGAGAACCTTAATGTCCGGGGGAAGCTCCTCTGGGCGATCAGGGATCATGGTGAACGCAGCAGGGTAGTGAGGGGTAATCAGCCGAGGCAGGCAGGACTTTAGACTTTCTGGGGCCAGGCTTGCACGTGGAGGCCTGACACAAATGTGGTGTTTTCCAGAGGGGACATGTTGTGATGTGTGAAAAAGGGTAGTGGAGCGTGTCAAAGTTTTCTCCATTTTAAGTTCTCATTCAGTAACTACTTATTAATAGGTATAACCCATACTTTAAAAAAAAAAAAAAAAGCTATTTGGAATCTTCCATCATCTACAAGAATATAAAGGGGTTCTGAGACAAAGAGTTTTGAGAACGGGGTGGGGGTTGCAAAAAAAAAAAAAAAAGTTTTGAGAACCACTGCAATGCAGTTCCGACGCATACTCTGGAAGCCGACAGCAGCAACGAATACACGACAGATGACCACGGATCCTACAGTGCGAGGTCTGGTCCCACCCAGAAGGTTGGGAGCCAAATGCGTGGCTAAGTGGAGATGGCCAGGGTTTGGGTGGGGGGCGAAGGCGGGTTGAAAGCACTGGAAAGACAGGCCCGACTGTGCGCTGGGGAAGACACGTCCTTCCTCTGCACACCTTTTTTTTTTTTTTTTTTTTTTGACACGGAGTTTCGCTCTTGTTACCCAGGCTGGAGTGCAATGGCGCGATCTCGGCTCACCGCAACCTCCGCCTCCTGGGTTCAGGCAATTCTCCTGCCTCAGCCTCCTGAGTAGCTGGGATTGCAGGCACGCACCACCATGCCCAGCTAATTTTTTGTATTGTTAGTAGAGACGGGGGTTTCACCATGTTGACCAGGATGGTCTCGATCTCTCGACCTCGTGATCCACCCGCCTCGGCCTCCCAAAGTGCTGGGATTACAGGCTTGAGCCACCGCGCCCGGCTCCTCTGCACACTTAATACAAGAAGCTATAAATCCTTCTCTTGCGGGTCAGGGCATAACCTGGACAAAACGGGAATTTTTTTTTTTTTTTAATAACACCATGCTTCAAAAGTGGAACCAACAAACCGGAAATTTAAGGCAAAATAAAAGCAGAGCATAACTTGGACTAAAGGGGAAATTTAAGGCAGCCTCTCTCAATTACATAGCTTAAAAATCTGTTCATTTAGTAGTAACTGCAAATTTCGGCCTAAAGACTAAAACACCTGCTTCCTGATTTGGGGGTGGGGATGGAGGGGAGTGCAAAGACGAAAAGGGCGGGAAAGTGAAGACCGAAAGAAAGAAAGACAAGGCTAGGGGGAGGGGAAGAGGCACCGCAAGAGGCCAATGAACGAGACAGAGGCTCAGGCGCGTGCGCCAGTTCTCCGCATGCGCAGGCGCACGCCTGGTGATCTCGCGGGAAAGAACCGTTGCGGGCCCAGCTTTGCGCCGAGGTAGGAGGGGGGAGTGGAGGCGGGAGTGAAGTCTCGCGAGAAGAGGCGGTTGCTGTAGCGGAGCTCTCTGGCTGTGTGTGTCTGAGGCTTCGGCGCCGGAGCCGCGGACGGTTTGCTGAACCCGTTAGTGCGCCCGGCCGAGACACGCCGCCGCCATGTCTCGCTACCTGCGTCCCCCAAACACGTCTCTGTTCGTCAGGAACGTGGCCGACGACACCAGGTGGGTACAAGGCAGGTACTCCGGGCCTAGGCGGGGAGGCCGCAGGCTGCCGGAGAGGACCCTGGCGGTGGCGGCACTGGGCCGGGGGAGGGGACACGGTGAAGATGGCGGGTCCCGCTCCAGCTTTGGCGCCGAACTAGGCCGCGTAGCCGGCCTCGGTCGCCGCGTGGGAGCGAGGGCCGCGCCTCTGCCCTCACCCGGCCGCGTGGCGGGGTTTTTCGGTCCCCCTCCTCCTCCGCAGTTCGCAGCCCCTTTCTCCCGGCTTTTTCCCGGCGCGGGCAGCCCCCGCCGCGGCCTTTCCGCCACCCGACGGCCGCTCCCCATTGATTCGAAGTTCACGTTCTTCGGGGTGCACGCCCCCTTGGCCCAGAGATTTTTTTTTTTCCCCCCAGCTAAAAAAAAATGAGGTGAAATAACGGGATCGAGGGAGAGGAATGCTGCTTCTATCCTTTTTGTTGCCGTTGTTAATATTTGGGGTTTTTAATCAGTTGGAGGTGTTTGGAGAAAGGGAACGTTGAGATTTGGGGAGTTAGATTCTTCCAGTTACATGTTGGAGTAGTTTTTATTTCCTGGAAATTCTGGTCACCCTTTGAAAAGGGAGGTTTGGGAAGCCTCAATCATTAGGACGTTGACAGCCAAACTAGATTAATTCAGACCTACCTTAAATAGGCTTTGTTCTCACCATTCCCTTGTTTCGAGTTGCTTTCAGATTATTTTGGAAGAGGTCTTAACTACAAATGAGGCTTCGTATTTCCCAAATAATCTACACACAGAAAATACATGGTTTAGGTTTTTTGGCGTTTTTGTTGGGTTTATCTTTTGCTAGCTTTGTGATTTCTTTTTTTGTCTAAAGTTTAAGCAGGAAAGACATAATAGTAATTATGTTAGCGTCTAGAGAAATTTTCCCTTTACGTCATTTTGACCTTATTTAAGGCATTCGATATTTGTGACTTTTTGAGCCCATATTTGCCTTCTGTTAAGTGTCTAAACCTGTCGCTAAAATTGGGGAGTAAAAATCAGTGCTTGGTGTTTTTCAAAGTAAAACAAAACAAAAAGTAGCAATGCTTATATACGACCTAATGCTGTTGTACCTTTTATGAAAAACTAAGGCTATAGATGAAAACAAAGGTCATTCCCTTGTACCGAATGTCTGCTGTTGTCCTGTTAATGTAAACTGCATTTTTAACCTTCAAATTCTTGAACCTAGCTTTCCTTTATCAAAAAGATATATTGCGTATACATCTTAAGGACTTGAACATAAAAATTTGAGGTCTTTTTATGATGTTTTAGGTCTGAAGATTTACGGCGTGAATTTGGTCGTTATGGTCCTATAGTTGATGTGTATGTTCCACTTGATTTCTACACTCGCCGTCCAAGAGGATTTGCTTATGTTCAATATCCTTTCTTCAGATGGCTGATTAGTGAGGGGTGTTGAAGTTTGAAATTCAAGTTTATGTAAGTGGTAACATCTAAAAAGTAGTTTGTTTTTGTCCTCTAATGTCTGTGTCTTCAAATTTTTGAGAATTAATTCTGACTCACACATTGCTCTTGTTATTTCTTAAAGTTAATCCAAAAATGGTAAAATATTTAAATTCCCATTCATGCGTCTGAAACTCAAATCAATGATTATATGTGTGATTTAAATTTGAATGCACTGTGGTTGCTACTACTTTTAAGTCCATTAAAAGTTAATATGTTCTTGTGCTTAGCAATTAAAATTTGGTATTCTTGTTTGTTAATTTGAATCACTTGATCAAAAACAAATTGTATAACAATGAGGTAAACTTCTTTAATATTGTCCCCTAATTTGCTGTCCTCTGTTGTTACCTCAGAGAATGTAAAGCTGTACAGTTATGGCGACCCCAAAGAGAAAGCATGAAAGAACCTTTAGAGTAGAGTTCAACACTTAAGGCAAGTAGACAAGCCAAAGACCTCTTAAGGATCAGGCTTGAAGAGAAGGGAGAGTTTGGGAAAAGAAAAAATAAAGAAAAGCTGGAAGAAGGACAAGCCTAATGGGAGACAAAGCCTCGCTTTATCTACAAAAGGGGGAAAAGGTTGTTTTTCAAAGTTAAAGATAAAGCCATCTGTCATATTTGGCCAAGCATCTCATGACAAGTCCTTCTGACAAGCACTTAAAGAGTTAAAGGTCAAGATGAAGTTGAATTGAATGATGGCCAAGATTAAAGGAGTCATACCTGATGTATCCTACAGAATAACTATTTTTCTTTTTTTTTCTTTTTTTTTTTAAATGTTTTGTAAGCAGTTAATTTTCAAAATTACTCTGGTTTGGTCTAGTGACAAAACCTATAACTTGATTTGTGTGGGCCTTTGATGTTGTGATTGTGGTCTTGTATAAATGCACTCTCTTAGCTTATCAAGTTAAAGTGTAACAGGATGTATATTGTTAAGATTAAATTCAGCATATTTTGGTCTTGGACCAGGTGGTCAGATGCCACAGAGTAGCAGGCAGTGCTCTTCGGAGTAGCATGGGGTTCTGGGGTTAAGCCACAGAGCTCTGCTTAAAGGAGAGACAAGTGTATGCACTGGGGTCTACTTAGAAAACAGCTTGGGTGGTCTTACAGGGTCAGAGTCACTATAAATTCTGTTTATATATAGATTTTAAAGTGCTTGCTGGGGACACATAAACCCTTAACTTCGGGAATTTAGCTCTGTGAAGACTGCTAGCCTTGTGCCGCTTTAGCGAAAATGATCAGTTGGCCCTGAATGAGTTGCAGAAGGCATTCTCCCTAATGTAGATGCCTAATTGGGACCCATGAGAGGCTGGTCCCTGACCCAGAGTTTCAGGTGATCTTACTTCCTCCTTTCAGTGTGAGATCATCTCCCTGCAACAAGGGTTTGGGTTGTGGACCTCAAAGTAGGAAAAATTCTTCCTGCTTAAATTCAGCGGACCTCCTGAAACTTGTAGTACATTGATGGAGTCCTTGTGAGACAGGGAAAAGCCAAAAGCTACTCCTGCAGGGCCAGCCGTCAAGGACAATTGTGAGAATTGGTTGCAAACCTCCATTACAGAGAAGGTAATAGCTGTATCTGGCTCAGTAAATGACGGTAGCAGTACATTCTGTCTTACAACATAAACCTAATTTTACCTAGTGTTGGGTGGCCCAGGAATCAAGGTCAGTAGTAGTTTGATTCAAGAGTATGTGATACTTGAGGCAGAAAAGGGTAGTAATTCAAATCAATCTAAAGGAGAATGATAATTTTTAATACATATTCATTAAGTCTGTGGTCTTAAAATAGATGAAATAACAGGCTTATCAATTTCATTTTTGAAAAGACCATAAAGTACAAATTTCTCCATGACTGACATCAGAGTGATGCTTAGCTGCCTCTGCTGCTGCTGTCTCTGTCTGACTCAATTCACAGTTAGCCTTTTCTTCCTATCCCTGGCTTACCGAGTAAAGTAGAAACTTGCCGTCAGCCCAAGATTCTGTTTTTGAGGATAGCCCCAGAGAGGATGCTCTGCTCTCATTAATAATTTTTACGGCTCTCCATAGAAATCCTTTTTATACCTATATTCTGTCTCTTGGGGTAACAAAGTAGTATACCCATTAAGTGAACTTACTCCTTCTAATTAGTTTAGAGCCCAGCTGCATTAACCTTGAGGGATGTTCAGTTATAGTTTTCAAGGTTCTAAACTACCCGTCAGCCTTTGCCTTTTCATGTTGAAAGCCCAGTTATTTGAAATTGTCCTTCCATTTAATCTTCATAATGGCCTCAGGAAGAGAGAGCTGGAAACCTGCAGTCCTTAATTCCATTCAGAACAAAAAGTGAATAGTCTACTAAGGCAAACCTTTTAGTCTCTAGAATAAAAGAATACCAGTATCAGTCTCAAAAAAGAAGTGTACAATTTATAAAATTACCAGTCTTGTGTTGTCTCAAATTTAGGAAATACAAATGTGCAAATTAGAATAGTGATTTTTTTTTTTTTTTTTTTTTGATAGAATGGAACTCTATACCCGGACCTAACCTAGCTCTCTTTCCAAACCATTGATACCAAACACTGCCTTGAATGTGTACTTCGCCTCTGTCATTATGATGGTTTTAGGAAAGGAGCTAGGTTTGGACAGGATAACTGTGTAAAGCTAGGAATTCTCATAGTATCATTGTTGACATGACCAGGGAGGACAAAGGGCTTAGCTCCTCAGATCAAAAACAAGTACCAGCAGTTCCTGCTTAAAGCTGGTAAATAATACCTTGACATTCTCAAGTTGGAAACCAGTCTCAAACCCATTTCTTTGCAAGAAGTTGTATATTTTGGATCATGGTTAGGGTTTTCCAGTCTAGGAGTCCTTACAGTGGTTTGTTGTTTCTTGATAGCATGCTTTTGCAGTCTGCATGGATGTAATAACGCTTTCGGTATAGTGATTTGTCTTTAGTACTGCTTGACTCTATCTCGATGCCCACAAATGGCTAGCATGCTTGTCTTCCCATGCAGTGCAAGGAAGACAGTTAAATAGTAGTGTTAGATACATATGAAAAAGAAAATAGCAAAATTAATTTGAGGTTAATACTTTCGTCTCTTGTAAGGTAAGGCATATACTGCTTGCTTACACAAGAACTATTGGCATTTTCTTTTTTTCATTTGAAACAAATATGAAAAACAGTATTTTGGTTTTAAGAAACTTTTATTTTAACATACGACATAGAACTGACATTTGTTTTTCTTTTTTGTAAACTTAATTCTTAAAACTTAGGAAAATTATTGGATAGGACAACTTGGTGATTCAGCTGTAACATCTTATTTCCAGAATAACTTCACTGCATTTACTTTTCATACATTTTCAAATGTGTGCCTTAGGAAATCACAAGTGCTTTTATAGTGTGAATTGTGAATCCAACTGAATCACCAACTAGTAAGTGGGGTCTGGTTGATTTTCTGAAATAATATTGGGAGATTGTGAATTGTTCCAGACATACGAACTGAACTTTCATTCATTATCAAAGTTTGCAAAACTTCCCAAGCCCCTTAACATTTAGCACATTTGAGGATGTTCGTGATGCTGAAGATGCTTTACATAATTTGGACAGAAAGTGGATTTGTGGACGGCAGATTGAAATACAGTTTGCCCAGGGGGATCGGAAGAGTAAGTACCCTTATACCCAATGTGTGTGATGCATTATTTTTTAGGTAGTGTTTTGAGATTTTTTTTTTTTTTTTTAAATTATAAAGCTACTTGTAATACTTTGGGGTGAGCCCCACAAGAATAAAAAACACTGGGATGGGGTAACCCCCTCATCCCTAGTAGTGGCCCAGGGGTAGAGAGGCTACCTGAGGGGAAGGAAGCACAAAAGGGACCCGCTGCAGACTCAGGGCAAAGGGAATGCCATCGGTGCTGGGACCTGTGAGCACTACAGAAGGAAACTCGAGCGTGATGGGACTGGCTCCAGGCACACAGGTGAAGGGCAAGAAGGTTGGACATGAAGCCACAAAGCTACTTGGGTTCGTCCTCCTTGTTTGCCTTTTTCTGCTTCTGCTGCATGATCTCCAAGTCCCTCTGCTTGCGGGTGGCAGCGGAAAGCCCGTCATCTCGGCGCTTTCCCTTAACCGAGTCGCTCTGCTTTTTCATATTCTTCTGGCAGACGAGCTCTTGCTAGTTACCACAGGTCATGGCGATGGCAGCGGCTCCAGCCTCCTTCTGTTACATCCCCTCGTTCTGTCTGAGAGTGCAGTGGTTTAATCTCAGCTCACTGCAACCTCCATCTCCTGGGTTCAAACCGTTCTCATGCCTCAGCCTTCCGACTAGCTGAGATTACAGATGCATACCACCACACCTGGCTGATTTTTGTATTTTTAGTAGAGATGGAGTTTCACCATGTTGGCCAGGCTGCTCTCAAACTCCCCACCTCAAGTAATCTGCACGCCTCAGCCTCCCAAGTGCTGGAATTACAGACGTGAGCCACTATACTTGGCCCAAAAGGATCATTTTTAAGAAAATGGGGTGTCTTGAATATTTCATCATATTTTTCAAATGTATTATAAAGTTTTGGCGTAAGTATAGATGGGAAGTGGAGATCGGAATGCCTGAAATATATCTAGACTTTTTTTTTTTTTTTTTTTGAGATGGGCTTTCATCATGTTGGTCAGACTGGTCTCGAACTCCTGCCCTCAGGTAATCAACCTGCCTTGGTCTCCCAAAGTGCTGGGATTACAGGTGTGAGCCACCACGCCCGGCCTTTATATCTAGATTCTCTGAAAGTTTACCAACTTTATGCAGGCTTACCAGATGTTTGCTGCATACTTACGAGGCAGGAATACAGGTTTTAGAGTCAAATAGACCTGTGTTTGAATTCTGGCTTAGCCATTATGTTGCCTTGGGCAAGATACCAATTAAGAGATTAAAATAGCTGCTGAAGAGAAGGGCAACACTTGAGTAGACACAAACTATTGGTAACTCTGGTTCTTGAGTTGGATAATAGATTCCTGGTTATTCGTTAATGTACTCCAATACGTAAAATATCTGCTTCATTGAATTGAATGAGATAAGAATTGAAGTGTATATAAGGCATTTAGGAATGCCTTATTCTACTTAGGTTCTTAGAACTGTAATTATACATTACTGCATTTTGACACTGCAGATTATTCATAGGCCACCTATAAATATTTTGTTTTGTTCCTAATGAATAGAATCCATGGCGGGATCATTCCAAATCAATATGGTTCGGTGGTCATTTTTTTCAACCATTTAAGAATGGAAAATGGCAGCATGAAAATAAACTAAAACTCTGTGGTTAGAAAAGAAATGTAAAATGGGTGGATGTGGTAGCTCATATCTGTAATCCCACCGTTTTAGGAGGCCCAGGCAGGAGAATTGCCTGAGCCCAGGAGTTTGAGACCAGCCTGGGCAGCAAAGTGAGACCCCTGTCTCTACAAAAAAGAAAATAAAAAAATTAGCCAGGCGTGGTAGTGCACACCTACAGTCCCAGCTAGGCAGGAGAATCAGCTGGGCCCAGGAGGTTGAGGCTGCAGTGAGCCATGTTTCCACAACTGTACTCCAGCCTGAGTGACAGCAAGACCCAATCTCAAAAAGCCACTCACTCCCATTTTGAGTTTTAAAAAATCCTTTTATGGTATAGATTCCCATTGTCGGAATAGTTGGCAGGTCTTCGATAACAAGCTAGGTGGTGAGAAGATTTTGAAAATAGCTGGAGATAGGGCCGGGCACGGTGTCTCACACCTGTAATCCCAGCATTTTGGGAGGCCAAGGTGGGCAATCACAAGGTCAGGAGATTGAGACTGGCCTGGCCAACATGGTGAAACACCGTCTCTACTAAAAATACAAAAAATTAGCTGGGTGTGGTGGCGAGCGCCTGTAATCCCAACTACCTAATAGGCTGAGGCAGGAGAATCACTTGAGCCCCGGAGGCAGAGGTAGCTGTTGAGATTGCGCCACTGCACTCCAGCCCTGGTGACAAAGTGCCTCTTGTCTCAAAAAAAGTTGAGTATAACAGAGTATTATTTTTAACACAAAACTGTCTTCTAGTATATTTTCTTTTTTTTTTTTTTTTTTTTTTTTTGAGACGGAGTTTCGCTCTTGTTACCCAGGCTGGAGTGCAATGGCACGATCTCGGCTCACCGCAACCTCCGCCTCCTGGGTTCAGGCAATTCTCCTGCCTCAGCCTCCTGAGTCTGGGATTATAGGCACGAGCCACCATGCCCAGCTAATTTTTTGTATTTTGAGTAGAGACGGGGTTTCACCATGTTGACCAGGATGGTCTCGATCTCTCGACCTCGTGATCCACCCGCCTCGGCCTCCCAAAGTGCTGGGATTACAGGCTTGAGCCACCGCGCCCGGCGGCACTCTTTTTTTTTTTTTTTTTTTTTTTTTTTTTTTGAGACGGAGTTTCGCCCTTGTTACCGAGGCTGGAGTGCAATGGCGCGATCTCGGCTCACCACAACCTCCGCCTCCTGGGCTCAGGCAATTCTCCTGCCTCAGCCTCCTGAGTAGCTGGGATTACAGGCACGTGCCACCATGCCCAGCTAATTTTTTGCACTTTTAGTAGAGACGGGGTTTCACCATGTTGACCAGGGTGGTCTCGATCTCTCGACCTCGTGATCCACCCGCCTCGGCCTCCCAAAGTGCTGGGATTACAGGCTTGAGCCACCGCGTCCGGCTATATTTTCTTAAAAATAAATACATAGGTCCGGCATGCTGACTCAAGCCTGTAATCCCAGCACTTGAAGCTGAGGCGTGCGGATCACCTGAGGTCAGGAGTTTGAGATCTGCCTGACCAACATGAAGAAACCCCATCTCTACTAAAAATAAAAAATCAGCTAGGCATGGTGGCACATGCCCGTAATCCCAGTTACTTTGGAGGCTGAGGCAGGAGAATCGCTTGAACCCGGGAGGCGCAGGTTGCAGTGAGCCAAGATCACACCATCGCACTCCATCTTGGGCAGCAAGAGCGAAACTCCATCTCAAAAAAAAAAAAAAAAAAGAAAAACATGCCTTTTCCAAGGTCAATATTTGCAGTTAACTTCAACCCAGCCTACATTAAATCACTTTCTGCATCTGCATCTCACACCAAAACTACAGACACCTCTAAAACAGACTCCAGGCTGGGTGCAGTGGCTCACACCTGTAATCCCAGCACTTTGGAAGGCTGAGGCGGGCAGATCATTTCAGGTCAGGAATTTGAGACTAGCCTGGCCAATATGGTGAAACTTGTCTCTACTAAAATGCAAAAATTAGCCAGGTGTGGTGGCACGTTTCTATAATCTCAGCTACTCAGGAGGCTGAGGCAGGAGAATGGCTTGAACTGGTGTGGGGTGGAGGTTGCAGTGAGCTGAGATTGCACCACTGCACTCCAACCTGGGTGACAGAGCAAGACTCTGGTCTCAAAAATAAAAATTGTTTTTAAAAAAACACTCCAAAACACATACTTTGTTATTGTTGTTATTTTATTAGAGACAGGGTCTCTGTCCCCCAGGCTGACATGCAGTTGTGTGATCACAATTCACTGCATCCTCAAGCTCATGAGCTCAAGTGATCTTCCCACCTCAGCCTCCCCGGTAGCTAGAATACATATGTGAGCCACCAGGCACAGCTAATTATTTTTTTGTGAAATGGGGTATTGCCATGTTGCCCCGGGCCAGTCTCAAACTCCTGGGCTCAAATGATCCTCCCACTTAAACCTCCCAAAGTACTGGGTTTACAGGTGTGAGCCACACACTCATGCAGAGACTTTTTCCTGTATTTATTGAGGGCTTCAATACTGTTTTTAGTATTTTTAAGTATTTCTTTTACTTGTATTTCCTAGCACCAAATCAGATGAAAGCCAAGGAAGGGAGGAATGTGTACAGTTCTTCACGCTATGATGATTATGACAGATACAGACGTTCAAGAAGCCGAAGTTACGAAAGAAGGAGATCAAGAAGTCGGTCTTTTGATTACAACTATAGAAGATCGTATAGTCCTAGAAAGTAAGTGTGATGCGTAAACACAGTGATCTGTTTAAAAAAGGTGTATTTGAGCCGGGCGCGGTGGCTCGAGCCTGTAATCCCAGCACTTTGGGAGGCTGAGGCGGGTGGATCACGAGGTCGAGAGATCGAGACCATCCTGGTCAACATGGTGAAACCCCGTCTCTACTAAACATACAAAAAATTAGCTGGGCATGGTGGCACGTGCCCGTAATCCCAGCTACTCAGGAGGCTGAGGCAGGAGAATTGCCTGAGCCCAGGAGGCGGAGGTTGCGGTGAGCCGAGATCGTGCCATTGCACTCCAGCCTGGGTAACAAGAGCGAAACTCCATCTCAAAAAAAAAAAAAGGTGTATTTGTTAGCATTTAATTTTTTTTTTTAGCCTTTTTGTATGCTTTTAATTAGATAGATTGAATGCTTCGTTGAGACAAAAAAATCTTTTAGCATTTTAAAAGTTTTATGGCCGGGTGCAGTGGCTCACGCCTGTAATCCCTGCACTTTGGGAGGTTGAGGTGGGCAGATCACCTAAAGCTGGGAGTTTGAGACCAGCCAGACCAACATGGTGAAACCTCATCTCTGCAAAAAATACAAAAATTATCAGGGCGTAGTGGTGGGCGCCTGTAATCCAAGTTACTCGGGAGGCTGAGGCAGGAGAATCAGGAGAATCGCCTGAACCCAGGAGGCGGAGCTTGCAATAGCTGATCCTGCAGCATTGCATTCCAGCCTGGGTGACAGAGTGAGACTCCATCTCATAAAAAGAAAAAGTTTTATGGTTTGCTTTTAATTAGAAATTTTACCTCTATGAATAGATATTTGTCACTGCTTTTTCTGATATGCTTTTTAGCAGTAGACCGACTGGAAGACCACGGCGTAGCAGAAGCCATTCCGACAATGATAGGTAAATAACTTTGCTTTGAAAAAGACTCGTGTTTTTTAATTTCAGAGTGAACTTTTGCTCTAAAAGTAACAAATTTGATTAATATAGAATCTAATTTTTACTCTAATTATATCTCTCCTCTGTTTTGAAAGATTCAAACACCGAAATCGATCTTTTTCAAGATCTAAATCCAATTCAAGATCACGGTCCAAGTCCCAGCCCAAGAAAGAAATGAAGGCTAAATCACGTTCTAGGTCTGCATCTCACACCAAAACTAGAGGCACCTCTAAAACAGATTCCAAAACACATTATAAGTCTGGCTCAAGATATGAAAAGGAATCAAGGAAAAAAGAACCACCTAGATCCAAATCTCAGTCAAGATCACAGTCTAGGTCTAGGTCAAAATCTAGATCAAGGTCTTGGACTAGTCCTAAGTCCAGTGGCCACTGATAGTATAAACCATGGTCATTTTTAGGCATGTATCATTTACTCATAGTTTGGTTTACTTAAATTATCAGGAATACAATGTTGCAATGATGCTTAAAAAACACTTGTTAGTTTTCCCTGTACCAGGCAATGGTTATAATTAAAATGATATGCTGTTGAGAAGCCACTCTTAAGAGTCCAGTTTGTTTAATGTTATGGGCAGCTACCAATTTGTGGTGTCTCTGTATATTTTTGTAAAGATTCTCATTTTTTATGCTTGAAGTATTTGGTGAAAAGATGTTGGTTGACCATAATTTGCAACATTGTCTCATTAAAAATAAACTTTCATATTCATATTTGGTAGAACTGTTAACCTAGAAATGTAGCTTGCTAGTAAGATAGAATGATACAAAAGTGAAGTAGTAGCCACAGTACAGCACTGACTGCTCAGACACACTTAGGTTCAGGGTGGGCCTTTATGTCTTGTCAAAATGTCCAGGCCTAGCCGGGCGCGGTGGCTCGTGCCTGTAATCCCAGCACTTTGGGAGGTCAAGGCGGGTGGGTCATGAGGTCAGGCATTCGAGACCAGCCTGACCAACAGGATGAAACCCCCTCTACTAAAAATACAGAATTAGCTGGGCCTGGTGGTGCACGCTTGTAATCCCTGCTGTTTGGGAGGCTGAGGCAGGGGAATTACCAGAACCTGGGAGGAGACAGTTGCAGTGAGCCAAGATTACATCACTGCACTCCAGCCTGGGTGACAGAGTGAGACTCTGTCTCAAAAAAAAAAAAAAAAAAGTCTAGGCCCATGATAATTACTTATGATGAAGTGTGGATTAGTTCTTTTGTTAACCCCACTATCTTGGGGAATGATGCCAGCGGGGTTAGGTAGTATTTTCAGGAAGATTGAGTTTTTGGCTGAAACATGGAGCCTTCACTGCTTTTTTTCTGGTTCCTGTGAAGATTTGGAACATAGAAAACACAAAAACTTACCTTAAAATTTGAGCAGGTTGATGATGGCAAAAATAATTTTAAGGAGAAAGGAATATTCTTACATAGTTATTCTGAAGTTTAAGGAGAGTTGTTGACCATAATGTTGCTTAGTTTTCTTACTGCTGTTAGAAGGGAGTAAATTGTTTCAAAGTAGGTTTTGTGTGTGTGTGTGTGCATAGTGTAAAAGAACTGAAATTTTTTGATGCTTACAGCACTTAGCCTGTGCATTTGTATCAAAATTTGCCTGCCTCTTTATGAGCGAGGCCTGCTTTTCACACCTCACTTTATTTAATATGAGGCAAGTTGAAAGACAACACTCATTCTAGGCGATTCTGTGGTGCCATGAAATTCAAAATAATTTTGGAAAAAGGATTGGTCAGTTTTAAGCGAGAGTCACATCTTCTGAGTTTTTGATTATCGGTGTAGTACCTGACTAAAAATGAAGTAATACCCTTAACCATTTATAATTTCTAGTATTTTTCTGAAAGATCGTTTTGGGGACAAAAGTGACTTGACATGTCCAATTTCATTTCAGAATAAAAAGCTAGCATCTTTAAAAATCAGATTGCTTGCTTACAGATATAAGTAAGAATTATGGAGAAACAATTCCTATTAGAGGATTGCTTTTTTCAATTTTGGTTTTTGGAATCTAGGCTTTGCCTGTAAAGAATAAAACGATGGATTTAAAATACTGTTTGTGGAATGTGTTTAAAGGATCGATTATTCTAGAACCTTTGTATATTTGATAGTATTTCTAACTTTAATTTCTTTACTGTTTGCAGTTAATGTTCATGTTCTGCTATGCAATCATTTATATGCACGTTTCTTTAATTTTTTTAGATTTTCCTGGATGTATAGTTTAAACAACAAAAAGTCTATTTAAAACTGTAGCAGTAGTTTGCAGTTCTAGAAAAGAAGAAAGTTGTGGGGTTAAACTTTGTATTTTCTTTCTTATAGAGGCTTCTAAAAACGTATTTTTATATGTTCTTTTTAACAAATATTGTGTACAACCTTTAAAACATCAATGTTTGGATCAAAACAAGACCCAGCTTATTTTCTGCTTGCTGTAAATTAAGCAAACATGCTATAATAAAAAGAAAATGAAGGAAATAATGATTAACTGGAATTATTATAGTATTGAATATGATTCTAAAATAACAATGGAAACAATCCTTTATAGATTTAGGAATGTTTTTAATCAGTATTGCACTAGGCACAAATAACTTTTACTTTGGAAATGATAGAACTTGCCAGAAAGGTACATCTTTTACACAGTAATTAAAAATTCATTGTGTAATGTCAGAGTTGTTTAATGATTGCTCATTAAGCCTCTTGGGTTAACTTCAGAGGTTATTTGGTAGTGTTAAGATAAAATTTGGATCAGCTAATTCTAAGTGTATACTTTCATATTGGGTGGATCAGTAATTCCCTCTTCATAAACAAATGCATTGGAACTTAATGTTTATGACATGATTTTAAATCATTTTGAATTGATTGTTGATGAGCAGCTAATATTAAGTGAAAACCTCTTCAGAGAAGTAGGTTGTGGTTTGAATTCCATCTACTTTATGACAATTATAGCTGGTAATTTATTAAGTATTCATGATATGCCGGGCACTTGAAAAGGTTATGCGTTAACTCATTTACTCTTCACAATACCCTATGAGATACTTTTATTTTCCCCATATCACAGATAAGGAAACTGAGACGCAAAAGGCTATAAGGCAGAACCAGGATTTGAGCCCAGGCCTGGTCCTTAGTTTTGGGGGGGTGGTTTGTTTGTTTTACAGACTGTAATTTGAGAGAAGTGGATTGAGGAGATAGCTCATTGAAATTGTTGATTCTCTGGAGCCTGATTTTATTTTTATTTTTTACTTACGTCATCTTGTTTTTAAACTTGGACTATTGAGAATCTTATATGTTGTTTCTAAAGTGACACATCTAACAGCTTCAAAAGGACTGTGTTACAGTTGAACCTGTGGTAGTTTGGATCCTACTGGTACTTGATGAGGATCTTTACGTAGTGTTTTATGTTAGTTTTGGGTGATGTAGTTGAGTCCCCCACTTAATTGAATGTACCTACTATGTTTGTGGTACTGGGCTCAATAATAATAATAGAATGATTAAATCAACACTCAAATGAGGGCTGACATATTTCACCTCTCCTTTTACTTAAGATCTCTCTGCATTTTTTTTTTAAAGCCCAGTAAGCAAGAAGAAAAATGAGAGATAATGCTTCAGTGAGAGAGGAAAGGTGCTACATAGAGTATGGGCTGTTAAGTTACATCCCAGGGGAAAGACCTGGGAACTATTGTATTATTCTCTTGAAAATTTGGCCCAGTAAGCTGCTACATCCAGTTCAACTAACAAAATCCTGTATACCACAGAGAAGAATAAAGAAAACCAAACTGACAAACATCCTTCTTTTATTTAAGACCAAACTGCAGCTGGAATACCCAGTACAGTTCTGCTTACTACACTTCAAGAAAGATCTGAAAGCGGAAAAAGAACCAAAGAAGGGCAGTTCAAGCGACCAAAGGGTGGGTGGAAGGTGCTGCAGTATGAATACTGTACGAATATTTTGACTCTGGTCTGAAAAGATAAAAGAATGTTATCGAAAACTACATGGAATAATTGAAGTCCCTTCAAGTTTGAAAGTAAGCATTTTAGGACAAATAAAAGGAAATTCAACTTTGTACTTGTGGAAACTAATCCCTAAATATGAATAGGTTTATATTGATTCATGGGTACCAGATCCATAACAAATTATTGGAAAATAGTATGTCTGAATATCAAGGAAGACAGCCATAGTCTCTTACGGTGCCTCTGTTGGTCTGTCTCAAACTGAATTGGGTGGGAAAAGGTATGGTCCAATATAAAAGTTCCATTTTCGCCATTATTGGCAAATCTTGCCTTTGTTTATTTTGGTGCCAGTGTTTTCTGCTTAATCATTTGCTTTGTTGGCATCTGCATTTATTTACTTGTACACCACATGCAGTTTACATCTTCCTTAACTACTCTACTTCCCAAGTAAATTCGAATTACATTTGACATCCAGCTAAGAGGGCCCATCTCTTCTCACCTCTTTCCTAGTCAATATGTTCAGCAAATATTTATTGAGCCCTTACTATGGGCAGATCATTGTACTGGATAATTGAGGAGAAAAATAAATAATTCCCTTATTCGGTAAATGTCTACTGAGCACAATCTAGTGAATCATTACAGTATCACCTCATCGTTTTGTTTGAGGTATATTATTCGTAACAATATTTTACACCATTCATATCTTAATGTAATTATAGAACCCAATATACTATCAGGAATAAGTAATTATGTGGTTATTCTGCCATTTAAAAGTATCCAGTATTTGTTTGATCCCAATATTACAAATAATGAAAAAATGATTTGTTTTAATCTGTGATAAACTGGTTTATTGTGCAGTGACTGTAATATACTAGAATTAAAGTGTTCACTCTGCCTCACAAACAACATACTAGGAAATAACCCCCAAAATAAGTATTTAACTTTGCATTAGATATAAAGAATACTGGGTGCTATAATTAGATTATTTTGAGGCAGACAGCTGTTATCCCAACTGATTTAGTATGTTCTGTAATTGAGAAAATGTTCACCAAATTATACTTTTTAGTGATTTACATGTACATTTTATAGGGGACGTGTTCTGTGTATAGTGAATAAATAACTTTTATAGTATCACAAAATGTTTTGGATTCCTTAGTTTCTTACTAGGATGTTTCTTTACGTATACATTGATTCCATCACATTTGATTTTTGTCTTTTTGCCACATATTTAAAACTTTCCATGGAAAATTATTAACTAAAAATCTGGAAGTGGAGTTTAAGCTTTTAATTTATAGCAATTTTGAAAATACAGCAGAGGTATATTTTCAAGGGAGGTATGAAATGGTATTTTTGTCTGTATTTTATTTTATAATTTTTTTTTTGAACTTGCCCAGGATCACACAGCAAGTGTCAGATCTTAGGTTAAAGTCCATAATTTTTCACTTGCTTCATCTTTTATATTTTCGTTGTTTAATCAAACGGGGAAATGTTTTTATAGCTTTATTTTCATGGAGATAGTAAAATTGATATAATGGGAACTAGAATTTACTTAGAGTCAAAATGACTAGATTTAATTACAAAAGGTATTTTATTGTATACAGTTACACACTCATGAACGTAGTGGGTGGTTCTTATGGATAGAGGTTCTCTGTATTTTTAAAAGAATATGTAGAGTTCATAGACCTTTTTTGCCCTCTACCTCCCTTCTTTCTCCATTTCCTTTTGAATTAAGACATTTAAGGGGGAGAATTAAGTTGAATATTGAGTTGGGATTTTGTTTAAAAATAGGTGAATACATATATAAATACAATAACAATAGTTGGTAGTTCTCTAAAATATTTAAGTCAGAAAAGGACCTTTAATTTTTGCATCTGTTGAATGAATTGCTTTCGGATCTCTTCTGTGGTTGTTTCTCTTTATATTGAATGCTGTCAATATTGTTGAGGACTTACTGTGCGAAACCATGTGCTTTTCAAATATTTAATTCTAAAAACACTCCTGGGAAGTGGGTATTGTTCCCATTTTACAGATGAGAAAATTGTCCTTTGTGGAATACCCACCATGTGATAGCATCTTGCATATGTTCATTCCTCACAACTTTACAAGGTAAATGGATAATGTTCCTGGATAAGAGATTAAATATAATCCAAGATCTCAGGGCTGTGTGGCTCAGAGACTCTAAGCATGGCTTTCCAAATCTCATTCTCTTGTAGAGATTTTCCATTGTATTGCATTTTAACCATATTCCTGTTTACAAAACCTAAGAATATATTCTGATGTAGGGAGGCTGTGACTTGAGCAATAGCTTAGGAATAATCTAATGGCATTCTACTAGGAAGGAGGACTAGCAAAACCTGTAGAAGTCCCAGGCATGAACTGTTCTCATTTTAGATAGGATGACTTGATAAATAGGGTGAAGTGAGCAACGTGTTTTGTCTTCAGTTATTGATACCTACAAGACATTCTACTAGTCACTGTGGAAAAGGTTCCTTCTCGGATTTTTTCCTCTGCCCCTTCCTCTAACAGTGTTGGTTATCTTTATTATGTTTCTGTGTATATGTAACAGCTATTGCACCCTTGTAATGCACAATGAGGATTTTTCTTGGAATAAAAAGTGAGGCATGTAAACTCATGGAGAACAGTAGTTTGTAAAGAAGTAAAAGGACTTTGTATCTAGTTTTTTGCAGATCACATTTCTTTGAATGCTGGAAAGTGAAATAAACTGGTCTAGGAGCCAAAAAAAAATGTTGGTTTTTTTAAGATTTTGCTCTACCCTAGATTTGTTACCACCCAGTTACACTTTTTCCTAATTTGTGTAAGAGGTTTTAGAGATGAACTCTGTCCCTCTCGATTTACAAAGTAATTGCCTATGAGAGAATGCAACCAAAAACAGTAGAAACAAACTTACACAAAACCTTTCAGATTTTTTTCCTGTCTTGTTTTAGGGAAGAAGAAAATTGATCAGTGTGTATTTTAAGCTTAAGGTTTTGGACCTGGATTCTATCATAGTTTAAACTGCCATCAAAAAGATAAATTGAAATTAAAAAAAAAAAAAAATCTCATTCTAACTTCACCCAGGCTGGAGTGCAGTGGCAGGATCTCAGTTCACTGCAAGCTCCGCCTCCAGAGAAGCTGGGATTATAGGTGTGTGCCACCACTCCTGGCTAATTTTTCCTGTATTTTTACTAGAGATGGGGGGGTTCACCATCTTGGCCAGGCTAGTCTTCAACTCCTGACCTCGTGATCCACCCACCTCAGCCTCTCAAAGTGCTAGGATTACAGGTATGAGCCACTGTGCCTAGCGAAATTACATTTACTGAAGGTTCACAGTATGGCTGATTTCACAATTGCATTGATTTGGGAAATTCTTACCACCATTCTCTGTGTAGGCTAACCTAAACTCAGTACCTCTCCTAAAGCATGAGGTGTTTGTATGGTTACTTTTATTCAGGTTACCTTTAACCTGCTAAAATTTTTACAGGTAACCTTTTTTCACTCCCACTTCATTTATCCATTTAGCTTGAGTCAAACCAAAAACCTAGTGTATTCAATATATAGCTTAAAAACAAACAGCTAGGCTGAGATGTGTTCAGTACATGAAGTTCAATTTTGCAGTCCCAGGCATTTTTCACAGAAACTACCTACCCTGGAAACAAAAAACGAAGGCTGAAATGTTGGCTCTGCCTTAACTCCAGCTTGCATGAAAGATAGCTTTGCTGTGGGACTAGTTGCAGAATTTTAAGCATTACTCTCAGACTGGTTTTAAGATGCCCTATCATTTGGAACCTGTATTAGAAAGCAGGTGTGGTTGTGATGATTTTCTTCTGAGGGTCCCTTGTGTATACTTTTGTCAGCATATTTAAACACAAGGGTTGTTAACTGGGTAAAATCAACCTAGATCATAGAATTAATGTTCAAAAGCTTTGCAACATTTTCCATGTGTGGCCTTTTTTTTTCTATATCAGCAAACTAGTTGCTCCTTTTCAAGACAAAATTCCTGTCACATTTTAGTTGTAACCAGCCTTTTTTTTTTTCTTGAGACGGAGTTTTTGCTCGTTACCCAGGTTGGAGTGCAATGGCGTGATCTCGGCTCACCGCAACCTCCGCCTCCTGGGTTCAGGCAATTCTCCTGCCTCAGCCTCCTGAGTAGCTGGGATTACAGGCATAAGTCACCATGCCAAGCTAGTTTTTTTGTATTTTTAATAGAGATGGGGTTTCACCATGTTGACCGGGATGGTCTCGATCTCTTTTTTTTTTTTTTTTTTTTTGAGACGGAGTTTCGCTCTTGTTACCCAGGCTGGAGTGCAATGGCGCGATCTCGGCTCACCGCAACCTCCGCCTCCTGGGTTCAGGCAATTCTCCTGCCTCAGCCTCCTGAGTAGCTGGGATTACAGGCACGCGCCACCATGCCCAGCTAATTTTTTGTATTTTTAGTAGAGACGGGGTTTCACCATGTTGACCAGGTTGGTCTCAATCTCTCGACCTTGTGATCCACCCGCCTCAGCCTCCCAAAGTGCTGGGATTACAGGCTTGAGCCACCACGCCCGGCCACCAGCCTTTTTTTTTTTATAATCAGATATTTAGTGGCTTATAGTTCTAGAGTCTGAGAAGTCCATGAGTTGTGAGCATTCTGAGAATATATAAGCTTCCAGTCAGTGATAAGGAGAACACATTTTTAAAAAATACGAGGTAATCAAAACCATGTTTAAAATAAAACCAAGCCAGTGGGGGAAAATAATTTTATTTAATTTTATGCTTCGAATTCATATATACATAAATTTGTCTTTAGGTTATCAATATTTAACTTGGGCAGTACTTCATCTTGATTTATTTGGAGAAATACACCTTAGCCATCTGCTTACCTGCTTAGGCATCAAAAGAGGTGCCAATTAGAAAATAGGGCATTAACAAAATTTAACTGATCCACAGGCTTTTTAAACTTGCTATTGGTTTCACTTATATTTAAGCATTTACTCTTAAGGTTGGCAAAACATGTTATCAATGTATTATGCAGGAGTTTGTCTTCTGCATAAGTAGTGTGTCGGACTGCCACCCACCCTTGACCAAAGAAAAACCAAACCCCACTGGCACCATACTCTATAAACCACCTGTACCCTAGGTTAGAAGATTGTGAAAGCCAAAAATCTGTAAGGTTGGAGGGACCCTTTAGTTAATCTTTGGGCTTAGAGGAGGAAAAAAAAAATAGTCCCATACTGCATTTCACATCTCTTAAAAATAGTTTTAGCAGCTTAAACCTTTTTAGTTATAAAACTTATCACACTAGGATTTGCTTTGAAATATAGTTTACAACCAAATCAAGTATAATATACATACACTGGCACTTCAGCACAAGGGCACACTTTAAAAAGAAATTATTTTGGACCTTTAAAACTAGGCCATACTATAAAAAACAGTCCACGGTCTTACATTCAGCAAATTCATACTAAAATATCCCATTTTTGTGTAAGATAAAGGCCAAGAAAACTTTACATATGCTACAAGTTCATTACAGGTATTTACATGGCTCTTTCTCCCTTAGGTACTTAAAAATTTTCACATTATACAGCTCCCCAAAGCCAGCTTTGCAGGAATGATGAGGCCAGATCACTATTAGAATAGCTTGTGCAGTGCTGTAATACAAAAATGTATTTTGAAAGCTATTGAGTGACCATTAAATACTGTTAAAAAATGGTTTTGGTGTATTTGTTGGCAGACACTTAATTCACTTAATGAACAGGGCCATTGGGGTGTACTATGTCTCATTCTAATGAGCTCCAAATGCCCTTTCCACCCACTGTATAATTCACTAAAATACAATTAAGAACAATTCACATTTTCTTTCAGCAGTGCATCAGATTGTTAGTGTATTACTGATTTGGGTGTTTTCCAGTATATTAAACTTGCAGATGTTTACCTAATTCTGAATCCTTGCGTTAGACGCTTATAATGTGATTCACCAACAGAACAATCTGGTCCATGAATGATAAACTACTATCTTCCCCTAACAATATAAAAAGCTGATTCCTTTACCACTCCCCAAATCTAAACTTGGCTGGTTTCCCCTTAAAAGTTACTCAGTCGAGAACACTTAATATCAAGTACAATTATTAATTTAGTTTTCAGTTGCACTGATACTACCATTACATCACAGTGCACACAACACATACGTGAGATGCAGTCTATATTTTTTACATTAATTAGCAGTTCTACAAAAATAGATGAACTCCCTGGTGAATTTTTTTCAGACCAGTTGACAACTAACTATCCATAAACATAACTAAATTATGCATAAGTACTTTGTCTTATTTTATACCTGTACTTTAAGTAAGGTTTTAAGTTGAAATGTCATTATTTCCTTGTCTGAAGGATTAAAGGAAACAGGGACCCAGTGGCTTGGTGGTTTGGGAAGAACACTTGGTGATGGCGGCTCACTAAATTTGGCACCAGCATAGTTCTGATTAGCTTGAGATTTAAAAAGTAAGCTGGGACCTGATAAGCCAGAGTTCCAACTTGGATTATTCGGAAAATTTTTGTTCTTTCCCCCGTTTTGCATGGCCTGCCAAGCAGCTGCTGATGAGTTATAACCATGTCCTCTTTCCTTTTTCTTATGAACAATCTTCATCTGGGAATTCTGATCCTTGGTCTTCTGTCTGTTAAGCTGTTGTTGGTTCTTACTAACATTTCTAGATTGAGGCGCTGGAATGTTATACCTCTCTCCACCACCCATCTTCAGCTTCTTTGTCACCTACAAATGGATGGAAACAAATATTGAGTAAAGTTCCATTAAGAAAAGTTCAGAGCCGGGCGCGGTGGCTCAAGCCTGTAATCCCAGCACTTTGGGAGGCCGAGGCGGGTGGATCACGAGGTCAAGAGATCGAGACCATCCTGGTCAACATAGTGAAACCCCGTCTCTACTAAAAATACAAAAAATCAGCGGGGCATGGTGGCGCGTGCCTGTAATCCCAGCTACTCAGGAGACTGAGGCAGGAGAATTGCCTGAACCCAGGAGGCGGAGGCTGCGGTGAGCCGAGATCGCGCCATTGCACTCCAGCCTGGGTAACAAGAGCGAAACTCCGTCTCAAAAAAAAAAAAAAAGAAAAGTTCAGAATCTTTAAAAAGCTTCTATGGCTCCAACTTACAACTCCAGATATTTTGGACAAGACTCAGTAATAAGACTATTCAGCTGCTTTAACTCAAAAATTAAGCTGTTCAGACTCCAATATATGCACAAGCTTTATTATACCTTCCCTAAGAAAACTGAGCTTATCCACAAATCTGCATAATCTTCTATTTTAAAATAAAAACAATTGGTTTAGGGTGGATCCATCATAAAATGTTTGCCCATTGTGATGTTAATCTGCTTACCTTTCGGTCTGCTTTTCAGATTGCAGGATTTCCAATACCTGTCCTCTTCCTTGCTGCCAAGCCCAAGATAACAAGTGTTGCTTTCTGACAGATCCTTTCCTTTGTCTCAATACAGAAGTTTTCATGGGCCGTTCTGCTGAGTTCACCCTAGGAGCTGAGGCCCACATCTGAGTCTCCTCAGCACACAAGTTTCAGAGAAGTCCTAGCTAGAAAAATAAAGATTCCTTATTTCCAAAACACGTTGAGAAAGTTATTTAGATTTACTGTAAAAGTCGTTGACTATAAAAAAGGCTACTTCCAGAACTAAAAGGTAGAAAATGTGTGTTAAGAAGACTTTCTTTGACCTCATAACCACCACCATTTAAAAAACTCTTCACCCT